CTCTTTCCCATCCATTGCTCCTTGTTCAGCCTTGCTCAGTGTTAGACATCTCTGAAAGTCTCTCTTGGAATAATACTGTGTATCGGGTCTGTGTCCCAGCTGGCTGTCAGTGACTATATTCCCAAGGTCTCTTAGTCTGCTCAGATGCTCTAATAAGCTATCATTGTATTCCACTTTGAATGAGACTATTACTGAAGTAATTCACACTTCTCATCCTAGTGGTCTGAAGATTTCCAGCAGAGATGCTAAATGCAGCCTCCCATGCAAGGGTGAGATTCACAATCTAAGGGGGTTTTCCCCACAATATTGTTACCAGCAGTAGCAAAGTTAGGATACACACAGGAGCACATAGGGCCACAGTCAAAGACCCTAAATCATATTTTGTTTATTTTATTCCTGATCCTCTTGGCTTTGCTCTTCTAGGAGCTGTCATGTACAATGAAAATCAAGAATCAGGGGGTCAGGTAGACCTTAGGCCATCTAAGCACAATGCTCCAAAACTGTTTTCTTTTAAAGGATGTTTCCCTAACTGCAAATAAAGTTTTTAAGTGAAACACTTACAATGCTCCCTGGACTGACTTGAGAGGCTTGACAAGTGCATCAATTAATTATTTGCTATTTCACATGGTACAGCAAAATGCAAATGCAACAGAATAATTAATACATTACCTTAGAGAAAAAAAGGGAGATACTCAGCACTGGGTGCAATGGCAGTACCACAACAATTAAGCTACATGGTATCCAGACCTAATTCCCCAGTAGGAGAGTATTCTTCTCCAGGGAAATGTTCAGAGGAAGCAACTGCAGACACTCCTCTGAGTACTGATGATACCACAGAAAAATATTCACAAGAAAATAAAGAAGCACCAAAGACACACACCTTTCAATTTCACACATCTGGAGCAATGTATGGAGACACCTACCCATTATGGAATGTTCAGTGCCCAGATTTTATCCCAGAAGACAAGGATTTGATGACAATATACAGGACTAATAGAATTATTCATTTTTGCTTTGTAATTGCTGCTTAGATAAACACTTCAGCACACAAGCTTACAGGTACCTCAACAATAGCCAGAATCCTTAGACAAGACTCGGTCTTGAGGCCCTTACGCCAGTGAGCAATCCTTGTCCACAGACTGCATCAGGGAAGAACTGTGTGCAGGGTACTGTATCCAGCCAGTATTAAATTCCTGCTACTATCCCAAGGGTGTTGTGTCAGTTCCTTAGGGATCTCTGCATAGCTTCTGAAGCTGCAACAGAAGTGATCTCTTACCTTTCCACACAAAGATCTTCTTGGCAGCACCATTGTCCAGAATGAAGCACTCCTCAGACAAAAGCATAGCCATGGAGAAGGGGTTTTCCTCTGCTACCACAGACACCTTCATGGACCCACTTGCATCTGACACCTAAGAAAGCAATGGTTTCAAATACACATCAACTCTGGCTTTTAGAACCAAATTAATTTCTGCTCCTAAAATTACTACATAAATCAGTTGCCATTCTTATATATATAGCTATAGGAAATTTGTGTACTGCTGGAAAGTAAGACAGGCTAATGATTATTATTTTTTTGTTTCATTTCATTTTATGTCCAATAGAGGGAGACGTAGTGTTAATTTTAGGAGGGAGACGTAGTGTTAATTTTAGGGAGTTTGTTGGATCCCTGTCTCACAACTTTTTAAAATAAATCTGTTTCTCTCCCACTTCATTTCAACTGCTCAAAGTTAAAAATCTGTGTTTTCTTCAGTCCCCCCTATATGCTCAGCTGAACTGGTGGAGTCCCTGTTACCAAGCAACCTGCACTGAAGCCAAAGGTACATGTACATGCTGAAAAACAGAATTTGAAATTATAATAAAATAGGTCCTACACTGACCCTAACAAGTGAAATAGCTACATTTATAACCTACAGGTCTTTAATTGGAAACGGTAATATAAGACCTGTTGCTGAATCTGCTTTGTAACCTCTACCACCACTGTAAGTTCATGTAGACCTTTGAAACCTTTTACAGTTCACTCCTGTATAACTGAAGAGACCAGTTACTACTAGTGAAAATAAATTATTACTATTGTAAATAACATTTCTAGCAATCTTTATTTCCTTTCATAATTAAATATTAATTTTTAATACACCATTATATCTTCCATTGTATATTATGGAAGCACAAGAAGGGAATTACCACTGTAAACAACAAATAAAAATCAAATATTGTACCTACTCTTGAGGGCTCATCATAGACCTGTCTCCTGCATTAGACACTTACTCTTATATTGCAGCGCATTTAAATCCAGCTAATAGAGCTCTGTTAGCAGGCCCTGTCTACTTAGATTAATTTATTAGATATCCACAGAAATTTCAGAGAGTCCTTAGTATTCTGAAATGCACTGCAAGCACTCTCTCTTCTCTAGTTCTGTCTTGCTACAATAGTCTTGATCATACATGCAGGCCTTCTTCTTTTTTATTCCATCCACCAGGGTTTTTTTGTCATGAAAGGAATGATTAATGGGAAGTAAAACACAACACATAGACAACTAGGACTAAAAATGTCCTTGTCACAACGATCACCTCACACAAGTTTCTTGTAAACCCCAGCCACACCTATGGGTAGTGGAAAAATCATGTAAGAAGCAGGGAGAGAGGTGGATCCATCCTGCTGTGGTCTGTGGGATGCAGGAGCTGTGGAGGGAGTGACTCGTCCTCTCTCTCACTTCACAGCAGCTTTGAAACTCTTGTGGATGGCACCTAAAAGGTCACACACCTGAGGATCCAGTGGCACTATGTGCTGTCAAGAGTGTTGCCACTTGTTGGCCAAATGCTCCTTGTTACGTGACGATGGGGAAGAAATGAAATCAGATTGTATGGCAGTGAAAGATTCTTTGCTGACACACAGGGCATGAGACAGAGAACAAAGTGCTGAAGAGAAAGGTCCAGTTCACAATGCTAGTGAGAGTTTGTAAAAAACATACTCTTCTTGCAGTCTTCAGGAGAAAATAATCCTTTTTTAACTGGGGGGAAGGGGTGGGTGGATAAAGTATGCTCTAGATTTCATTAAAAACAATCCCCTTTTCCAAATTCTTTCTCACTTCATATCTTAAGTGGGAGAATATGAAAGAAAGGGGAGCAAAAATAGAGGCCTGGAGATGATTTTTTTTCAGAAATAGTTGCATTGCCTTGCATATAGGTCAGATACCATGCTGACAGGTCAAAGAATAAATTCCATGCCTCTTCTAGGAAACAGTGTGTGCCTAGCACAACATGAGGAAAAATCATAACTTAACTGAATGTAATCATAAAATTCTCACTGATTTAAAGGAGCAGGTATTTAATCCATTTTGTTCATCGGTACTTTTCCTGGCAGTGAGACTGGTCCAGTCAGTGTTAAACCATCGCAAGTGAGAAAGGAGGAAAAGGGCATTGCAAAAGAAAGGAATTTGGCATTCCAATTCTGTTGAATTTATATAAAAAATATAACATAACTGTCTATCTTTCTAACTCTGCCAAGAATAACTAAATCATGTATGACACTAAACCTCTCACTGTTAAAATTAAGAAGACCGGATGATTTAAGACCAGTGAATGTCTGTAAATGAAGCCAGAACTCCATATATGAAGGGTGAATGAATGTGTGAGAACTGTTGAGTGTACCTAACTATAAATCAATCAATCAATCACTTACCATATATAGTTTAGCACTTCTCCTGTTTGTAATATCAGCCAGCTCATCATCATCATCACCACACTCGGGCAGCTCTGGCTTGCTCCCTAAAACCTGTACAATAACAAATTCAATGCAGAGAAAGAGAGTAAGTGCTGTAGTATGAATACGCAGACAGTAATGTTTTCTTACAGTAATTGATTAATTGGGACCATCTTTATATGTAATCCAACCTAAAACCAAACTCATGGGTGACTTGTTCACAAACATATGGATAATTTTAAAAAACTGTGGCAGATCTCCAGCAGCTTTAGATCCACATGATGTATTTCCCATAGGCCAACTTGCACATCATCTATACACTAGGATTGGAAGTGACATATAGAGAAAAGCTTCAGAGGATACATACACATAGAAAGGTTTATGTGATCCTATTCTATGTGTGTGTTTACATGTCTGTCTTCCCTTTATCTTCCCAGTAACTTCTAAACTGTTGGCAAGCACATATTAACAATTTTTGGAATGATATTACTCTTAAAACATTTAACAATACTAAAATTAAAGCAGCCAGTGTGAAAGATATTAGTTGGAATTATATTTTGAAGTATTTCAATTGATGAAGCCTTGAGCAACCTGATCTACTGAGGAGGTGTCTGTGCCCATGGCAGGGGTTGGGACTAGATGATCTGTAAGGTCCATTCCAACCCCTAAATTCTATGAATCTGTGATGATTCTATGATATAAAATATCAAATTATGAGTTCGATAACCTTAAAAATGACATATTCTCATTTTAAGGGAGAAAAATTAGCTTGTAAAAAAATTATAGGGTGAGAAATACATTTTCTTGCTCTACCACCAGATTATCAATTCTAGCACTGTGGTTGCTTTTCATCATGGTAGTTGTACACCATGGGTAATGTTATAGCAACTATCACTACAAGAAATTTACAGAGGTTCATCATGAATATGTTAGGTCAGGTAGGCATTATTAGATCCTAGTTACCCTTCCTAATGATACTTCCTTAATGATTCATATATGACCAGATTCAAATTCTACATACGGAATATTATGGATTTCTATGAAATTATTCCCAAAGTGAAGATAGTGGCAATTGATATGTCTTGAGTGACTAAATATTAAGTACAAGGACAGTGCCTTCTTATTAACTTGAGCTCTATCTGTATAACACGCTGTGCATTTGCATATAACATGGAGTCACATGCAAAGCACTGTAAATATTTGATAACAGGGAAGCCCTACAAAGCATACAGCTGCAAAGAATTTGAAAAGAAAAACAATATAGTGTAAATATTTAATAGAAATCTGCCATCTCTGGTGTTTCCTGATAAAGCCAGTAAAGCCAGTAAAATAGTAAAAAAAGCCTTAAGTGCGATTGATGCCATTTCAGCTAAAATATTTTAGTTGCAACTCCTTGAAGACAAGAAAGCCATGCCCTGAGTGTTTAAGAAATAGTAGCAATCAGTCAGCATTTCCTGAATTTATGCTACGTGGCTGCAGACTTGCTAACATGTAGGCCAAGTGGGCTACATGCTCACAGCAGAGTGCCATCGTGCTGCTGAATGGCTAAAACAGTGGGTGTATATGGCTTATTAGCACAAGGTTTTCCTTCCTACCAGCCTGCACATAAGTCATAGAGCTCCAAGAACAAGGCCTGTAAAGACATCAGTTGTGAAGACATGCAGTGTGCACTATGTATAACACAATATATGAAGTGATGCTGTATGAAATACATGAAATAATACACATCTGCATTGCTAGGAACAACTTATACAGTTTCTCACATGCATTCATTTCAGCCCATTTCTCTTACAGACTGGAGGATGAGACACATCATGGAAGGAAAAATTCTGTGCTGAAACAGTAAGCAATTTACGCTGAAAAAATGTTAAGTTCTGTCCTAAATAAATGCTTTCAAAGAAGTTGTCTTTCCTCCTTCTAAGGCAAACTCCTATGCTACAGCTGAGTCCATATGCCTGGATGACAATAATTTTATCAACAAGATTACAACAGTATTTACCAACAGCTAACTCCTATACTGGAATTGGGTTAACATAAATAAATTACTTAAACCAAATAAACATTTAAAGGACATTTGGGGTTCTGATTCTTATATACATATGCTCTTAGTTTCACACAAATCCTGTGGTAGATATATACACAGGATATAGCTCATACAATTCCCCCTATACAGACAGTCAGGCTGGCAGCACTAGGGTGACTGTCTTAGGTGCTCTGAGGTTTGAGAACACAGGTCTTGAAACCACTTTTCAAATCATTATTATTATTCACTACTACAGTAAAAATAATCTAAAGAGTAATTAGGGGCCCTGAAAGCACACCCATGCCCCAGAGTCTTCATTCTTTGGGCTTGGCATCCTTCCTTGCAGTTGCTGATTTCCATACCATAGAGAGTCTTCATATCACTTCACCTTATCTGTCATTGACAGACTAAAGTGTGAAACCACCCCTCGCTGTTCCTCCACCACAGTGCTGCTTATCCTGTCCCCACCACTGCTTCCTGTGTGCAGGTTTATCAGAATCCTGGAGAAGAACACAAGAAACACTGGCCTCAGCAAAGGTGCACACAGGTGCAGTGCCTCTGTTCTGCAGTGACTGCCAGCATACACACTCTAACCTCATGGTATATCTAAGGTTGCTTAACTACTCGAAGGTCTAATCTGCTTCACAACTATTTCAGAGTAAGACATGCCCACAGCTCACTGCAGTTACCTTGCTTTACATGGCTGCAGCCTAATGCCAGCTTAGGTACCTCTTAATGAGAGCATCAGACTGCCCTGTTAGCATCATTTTAGCAAAAGTATTCATAAGTCCACACCTTTAGATCTTGTCTGGGGAGATATAACAGGAAGTCAATCTGCACTAATTTTAAAGGGTTTGGGGTTTTAAGTTCTCTTAAACCTTTGTGTTGATGCTCTTAGGTTAGCACAAGAATAGTCATGCAAACCAACAGAACATCAGTTCTTCTACAATAACCACCCAAGTTAAATTTTTGTGGTAAATGCAATGTAGCTTATCCTGCCCACAAAACCTGTTTCATATTCGCATGTGCACAAGCTCTTCTCTGTAAATATCAGCATCCCCTCAGAGAAGTGCAAAATACAGAGCCAAAGCTTTTACTTGAAGTGAAATTCCATACTCTGTTGCCCTTAAAAAGAAGAAATCACAGACACAAGGTTTCTAATCTGAAGGAATGTGACAAGGTAAATAACTTAAAATAAACTTATCAAAAGAAGAAATTTGGCAAATATTATCTTTATAACTGGAGAAGGCAGCTCTGCATTATAAAATATTTGATAATGATTTAATTGGAGCAAGAAGTTTGAAGAGTTCAGCGAGGCTGAAAATCCAACTAGGCAAACAATACTTGAAGAACGCGTCAGGTAAAGGTTAAGAGAGAAAACCAGTTTTGTGCAGTTGAACCTGTGTACACTAGCACTGTGTTTGAGTTTCTTCTTAATATACACAGTTTGGGTTAGGTTTCTGGATCTGAAACTGAACTATTTGTTGTGGCTGTGATTCTGAATGTCAGATCTCAGAAGCACCCAAACTCCCCTCTTTATATGCTAAGAGCAATAGAAAGAAAAGCAAAAAATTACACAGCTTAAAGGTTTCTTGAGGGCCTGCCATTTTATTACTTAATACTTTTGGAAAACAAACAGGATTAGTAGCTTATCATTCACTTTCTTGCATGCTTTGACATAAGCAAGTACATCCTGCTGTGCAAACTCAAGGTACACATGTAGGCTGTGACAGAGAATAAACCCTCCATGCAGGACAAGGTCTGAACAACAGGCACAGTGTGAACTCATTGGCAGATAAAGGCTTAGATTTCTGTTAACATTCAAAGCAGAAAAGAATATTACAAGGAATATCTCTCTGAAATAAATGTTGCCTCAAATATCAACTCCAGCAGCCAGTAAAAGGAAAAAATCCAGCAGAGAGAGGGAGAGATGAACATGATGCAGGCTAGTAACCACCTGGCTGATCCTGGGATCATCAGGCAAAAGTGGCTTTATGGCTTTGCTGCCAAAGTAACTGGCTGCAGGTTAATTTCTAACTATTTTGACTTACTGGTTCCTCTGCCAGAGCACAGCCACTGCTGAGGATATTCTGGGCCAGACAGAAACAATTTCTGATACTGGTCAGGTTATGAATAGCCAAATATGCTTTATTTTACTGGTTATTGTAACCAGAAACTCTCCATCAATCTGAGCAAACATTCATAGTCATACAAAAAATTACACTCCCAACAGGAAAAAATTTCCCTTCTACTGAACTGCTCCCGGGGTTTCTGCCTGAAATTGCCTCTCACTACCAATTCCAGCAACAACTACTGTCATTACATGCTCACCTTGAGCAGAAGACCTCCCACCTATCTGAATAGAAATTGCAAATAAGATGGAAACAGCCATAATGCACTGAGAAGTACACAAAAGGATGTTTTATGTTAACAAATAGTTCTGGCATGCTGTTACGTTTGGGGGCTTTACCATGTAATTTATCAAAAGGACTTTCTAGCATTAAGGTCTAAGCCTGATCTGTAGGAATTCAGACTGCTATAAAATAGCAAAACACATCAGTTGCTCACAGCATTTTTGATGCATAAATTAAGGCCTATGTTTTTAGCCAGTTTTTGTTGTCTCAGGAATTTCAAATGTTAATCATAATTTTATTTAAAGCTCTACGCTTAACCTCCTAAAAATAGGGCATTAGGCTTTGGCAGCTTTTTGTACAATACTTGCAACTTTACATATCTGTCTGGGATATTTTGAATATAAAGCCTTTACTCCTGTGATAACAATATTGTGACCTTAATTTTCTGTTCTGTGAAAGGGGCCATGAATAACATGTTCACAAGGAAAGGTACCTAGATCAGTCTTAAGGATACAAATTTGATTTTTTCAATTGTTTGGCTCTGAGGTAAAACAAGCTACTTCCTGCCCTGCTGGGACTGCAGGCAATATCTAAGCTTGCTATTTACAGAGACTGGGTGTGCATGAAATGAGCTGAGGAAAACCCCAGCCTACATTATCTCCCAAGTATCTGGCTTTTAGAATGCCTCCAAGATG